CAAAGAATCCCCCACACTCCCCTAAACTATCAATGTTTTAAATTAAAATTCTGGTGAAATTTATGCAGCCATTAGTGTCTTTGAAGCAGATACACATTTATATGGAGGGGAACTTGGTATTCCATATCACTTGGAACAGAAGGTGAAATCAGAAAAAAAAATAAATGAATATTTATAATAGGTAAGAAAAAAATCATATCTATCCTACTTACTAAGCAAAATTCAATACCTTCCCAAACAAAACTCTTCAGAAGCAACTTAGACTTTGAAAGAGCTTATGAATTTCAAGTAACAACCTTGCCTGGAATTTCTTATAAATCATTCTACAAACAGCTGTAGCACATTTTTTTCACATTAAACAGGATATTAAATTTGATAGGAAACTAGTGTGACTTCAGTTGGATTCCCTTTGTTCCAAGGATTTTGTTTTAATAAATCACTAACCACATTCAAAAAAGCAGCAGCTGAACACAAGGTTCTAGACAGACTTTCTATCCTGGATGCAGGGTATAAGTGGAAGAGGATTATTACCATCACCCTCAGCTACAACAGCCCAACGAATAAGTCCTGGTTTATTTTTACTAAAATAAGTGGACACACATCCTTGAAAAAACAGGCAAGAGTTTAAACACACACTGAACCTCAGTGAGCATAAAAATAATTTTTTGATGGGATGCTTCTGTATGCCCCTAAACACCGCAGTTCAAGTGATCTCTAAAGCCTTTTTAGAACCTTTATAAGAGCATGGGACTGCTGCTGACAAATAACTGAAGTCCCAAACAGGCACACAAGCATACTTATGCAAGATACCCAGGAATGCACATACCTACATTGAGAACTAAAAAGTGCTCTTAGAGTTTAGCATTGTACTTTACTCACTTGAAAGGCTAGACCAAGGTTTACTATTCATGTTTCCAGAAGCATTGCTTAGTTTTTATAACAGGTCGTATTACCAACGTTCATCCTGTTGAATCTGATACAAATCATGCTTCTTAAAAAACAATCTTTCTATGCACACGTGTCTGAAAAGAGAGTGGCTACACACACATAAAAAGAAAATTTGCAGCAGACTAAACAGCAGCAGCAGAAAAAATAACATTCTCTCTACGCGCTCAATTTAGCACTTAAGCAACAACCTAAGCACTGAGAGTGAGGTTTATGCTTGTTTTCAGAGCAGAAAATCTAGCTTCATCTCTCACCAGTGCACGTAACATCACAACACAGAGTAAGGCACACTTCATAAACTTAGAGGTGGCCATAAACCTGATGGGTCTGAGATACACTGACAGGAGGAAACCCTGGAAACTGACACACTGCTTTTCCTCACACTCCCATTAACTAACAATATTTAAACTCTGTTAGCCATCAACAAACAGCATTTTATGATTAGGTCAGATTTAAAATAATTTTAAAACAATAATAATAACAAGGTGTACCTCTGGTGAGGTAGCATCCAGGATAAATGCAGCTCACATAAGCACATATATTTTCATTGCAAAAAAAGCAAATCATAGAATCACAGCACAGAGTGTTCTGTACTTTATTGCTGTCTGTGTAAAGAGGCCCCAATGAAATTTTCAGGGGTGTACTTTAGAGCAGACAAATATATTTTCATTTGCTAGTCCCATTCTAATACAAAACTAGGAATCCTTGAATAAACATAGTTTTAAACCTCTTAAAACTAAATGGGAAAATTGACCAATATTGCTTTTGTATAGTCACGTAATCCTAAAGGTTATGTAAGAAAATGATGGTGCAGCTATGACAAATTCTTGCAACTGTGTGGCTTCATTTTAGTTATTCTTACTATAATAACCTAGTTCTGCTATTGCTATCTTATTGCCATTAATGAATTCTAAGTACATGCTACTGTTACACCTTAATTTCAATAACCTAAGAAGTTTATTTTATTTATTTTTAAATAATACTCTCACAGGTAGACAGTATAGATTCACCCATCATGGCCCATTCAAAATTACCTAAAGAACAACAGCCAGAGACAAAACAGAGTGTAAAAGTTACTAAAACATTAATAGACAGTACAGAGATTAAGTTTCAAGTCACCAGTATGGCACCACAGCTCACCCTCTCCTTGCTGCAGCTGCTGCGAGCATCCCTGCGGCGGGTCCCTGCCAAACTGCGTGAAATCTGGGGGCAGAAGAGCTGATTCCCCGGGGCCCACCTTAAGCAGAGAGACAACTGAAGTACCAGGTTACGTTCCGCAGCAAGCCACGCAGGCGGAGAGAAGGGGCCAGGGCCGCCCTCCATGCCCCGCGGGGGAGAGGCGGGGTGTGGCTGCGAGGGGGTCGCCTCGTCGGGGCAACCCCTTATGCTGCAGGAAATCCGAAAGAGGTGATTTACGGGCAAGTTTCATTACCATCCCACTGAGCTGACAGTTCAGTTGAAAAGTATTAATCTGGGCCCTGAAAGCTTGTTAAATAACGAACTTTACCCTTAGGCTGAAAAAAAACCCGGGGTGGGCGGGGTTGGGGGGGAAAGCAGTGTTGCACAAGCTTATCGGTGCCCACTTGCTGCAGAACATGCCCTTGCAGGAGCTGTGTATGAAGAACTACTACTATTTATATCTGTAACGCTTTCAAGTTGCTGCAAATCTCTAGACAAGATTAATACATGAAAATTACCTGCTTAAAAACACGATATCCTTATTTTCTGCCCAGCTTTTTCTATGTTGGAGGACCCTCAACTTCATCCACACTTTTTAAAGTGTTTTTTAAAGCTAAAGTTCCTAATGTAGGAGTAGAGAGAAATAAAGATAATGTGTAAAAAGCTGACCCAAAGGACTGCATAACCTGCACTTAGGCATCGGCTTAACATGGAGTAATATGGCATATGGATGGGAAGTCAAAACAGAGGAAGCATAGCACCTATGAATTTTATTGAAGTCAACAAAGTTCAAGCAGATGACTTTATACTGACAATACAATCATATTTTCCTTGAAACAATTATTTGCAGTTTACTTAATCCTTTCATGATTACTTCAGATATTCATCTCAATATTCACTCATCACAGTAACGAACACATGCAGTACTCACTCAAACCGTTCCAGCAAAAGCAACAAAATCACAATCAAAGACTTCCAACATGACTAAATCTGTTTGTATCCAGAGTCTTTCTCTCTCTCTGCTTACTACTCACCAGTAGTCAGGCACAAAAACGTTTTTCTATTAACGTAATCACTTAACACATGCTACCCCACTCACTTCCTAGTCTCTTGACCTTTCCTTCCTTTGGTTTGCTGACTGTTCCTCTTTTTCCAGGGAGTACTTGCACTTCCACACAATGCAGTACAGTGGCAGCTCCCAAAGACTTCGAGGTTTCTTCCAGAAACAGAGTGACTGTCCACACCATGTGCATGGGAACTGAGGTGAATACCTTCACTATCAGCTGTTCTACCTCAGCAGTTTAAGTGTGCAAAATATTCACTGTGCTCCAGTTTGGATTCTTTCTATCTTTTGAGCATAAACTATTCTGAGGTTTTACAACTCAAATGCTAGTTCCACCCAGTAAATATCTGACTTACAGTCATGGGTTGTAAAGCATTGAGGTATCTTTACCTTCCACTAAGTTTTGGGATTTTGTTAGTTTGTTTTTTTTTTTTTAAACTTGTATAAATAGTCTAAGTGATGAGTGGCCAGCTGAATTGATTTTGTGTTCCTGCTTTTGAATAACTTAAGTTTGAAAAACACTTGCTAAACATTTAAGCAATATGATCACTGATAGTGTATTAGCACTCAGAGCGTTGCAATGTAAGCATTTGGCTATAATTAAAATACTTTAAGAGAGACTACAGTATAATCAGTAACCTCTTCCATGCAGATTAATATCTGAAAAGTATGACTTCTGTGTACAACATATAGTCTACAACAGTTTGAACACCTGAAGTAAGTACAGCTAATGTACACTATCAAAACTTGACTTCCCACGTAGTGACAGTAAAATCTCCCAAATTTTTAATCAGTAAAATAAACAGCATTGGGAGGGGGGAGGGAGGGGGAAATCAGCATATTAGCTTAGCTTTTAATCCACACACTTCCCTCCCTGCCCCATGCTGAAATGAATAATGAATGAAGTGGGTCATGATTGCTTTCAGTAAGTATGTCAGAAACAATGAGACAAGGCTAAGAGTTGTAATATGCTCAGACCTCAGTGGTCTTCCTAACAATGCCACATGCTTATACAGCCACATACTATGCATCTTTTTTACGCATCAGCATACCGGGAACTGCAAAACCACAAGCACCAAAGTACCCAAGGTACTTGAATTTTGTTACGAAACTTACTATGCAAACAAAAATTAACAGAGAATTTCTGTCTGGAATCCGAGAATTTAAGCGCAACTTTCATTGTGCGTCTGGGCAGAACTGAAATTTTCGAGTGTCACCTTACACCTCCCGTCAACTCTGTCACGCAGCAGCAGCTCACCCAAAGCGTCAGTAACTCCAACAGACTTTCCAGGTTTTGTTGTCATCGGCCCCCCACGCCTCCCTCGCCGCTTCGTTCCCGAGCCCAGCTGCTCCCCCGAGTGTTTCTCAGCCTTCCCTCCCGCGTTCCCCAGCCCAGGTCCTCGCACCGAGACGCCTGCGGGGCGCGCCCCCGCTGCCAGGGCCGGCAGCAGCCGCAGTCCGCGGGCCGCTGTCCCGTCCCAGCTCTGCTACCAAAGGCGGGGCCGGGATCGCTCCCGCCGAGCAGCCCCCGCACCGCAGCAGCAGCGCAGCCCGTGGGCTGCCTCTGCCCATCAGGTGTTTCGCATCTCTTTGTAAATGCAGCTGTTCCCCCCACAGCCTTGGACTCCAGCAACCCTGAAAATCCAGACACTTTAAAAAAATTTCTTCCCTCACTTTTAAGGAACCCCCCCACTTCAAAAGGCTTCTCCCAGATCTTTTCCTTGGAGCGATTTCCGAGCCGTTCCTTCAAGGGGACTCGCAGCCACATGCCCAGAGGAGCGACCTGGCATCTAGAGCGGGGGCACGGTCTTACCTTTGGCTCCCCCGCGTCGGGCTCCTCCTCGTAGTACCCCTGGCCGGATTCGTAGGCGGCGGCGGCGGCCGGCTGCCGAGGTCCCAGGAGCACGGCGCCGGCAGCGAGGCAGCAGCCCAGGGAGAGCACCTCCAGCAAGTGCATGGTGCAGGGCGGAGCGGGGCTGCGGAGCAGCCGGAGGAATGCAGGCGAAATTATGAGACTCCTTCTCTTCCTCTTCCCCCCTTCTCTCGCTGTCCTTCTCCCCCCTCCCTCCCCTCGCAATATCCAAGGCAGTAAAATCCGTGGGATGGAGAAGATGCGGTAGCAGAAGCTCCTAGACGCCTGCAGGGGAGTTCCCAACTTTCCCAGCCGCTTCGCAAATTCTCACCAAAGTTATCCAGAGTTTGCCAGGTGAAAAACCCACCAGGAAACCGGACATCCGAGGCTGCGCTCACTCAGGAGCAGGGGAGGTGGAAAGCACAGAGAGGAGGAGGAGGGAGGGGAAGGAGGGAGAGAGCCAGCGAGCAGCAGAGCGAGACCGAGCGGCCGGTCGCACGGGGGGAGTTCCCTTGGCTGGGGCCGGGGGTTCCGGGCCGAGGGGCTCTGCCGCTCCCGCCGCTGTGCCGGACGCCTGTCAGCGGCGGCGCGCCCGGGGGGTGCGCGGCGCCTGGGGCTGCGCGGCGGCGGCGGGGGCTACGCATGGCGAAAGCGCCCTCTGCCTGCGCCTCTGCGCGCTGAGAGGGGCCGGCCGCCTTCCTCCTTCTCCTCCACCTCTTCCTCCTCCTGCTGCTGCTGCCGCGGCGGCGCCGCCTGCCGCTGGCGCCCTGTGGAGCGGAGCGGAGCGGAGCGGAGCGCGCCGCGGGCGAGGGGCCGCCCGGGGCGTGCTGCGGAGGTGCCGAGGAGGAGAGGAGAGCAGAGCGGGCCCGGCCGAGCAGAGCTGGGCTCGTCCCGGCTTCGACGAGTTGAAGCCCCTTGTAGGTCCAAGTCCAGAGGGGAGAGCAACGTGCCCGGCTCAATTTCATTTGGCTCCGAAACCAAGGGATGAAGTTAGGCACAACGTGCACAGAGGAATCATGCAAGGCAATTTCTGTGAATCCTAATCAGTTACTTGCTGAGCAGTGTTGGCAGCTTCACTAAAGAGAGTATGCAGCTATTTTTGGCCGGAGAAAAAAAGATTTTTTCATGTTAGAAAGAGAGTAACCCAAAGAGTACTATAATTATTTGTAGCCTTCCTATCAATGATATCTTGGAGCTGTCTTCGAAAAGAAGTAACACCCCATTCAGAGCCCTAAATAAAACTGAGCACAGATACTGCGTTCCAGTTACACTGTGATTAAAAGTTTTTTCTAAAAAATGAACATTGTGATCAAAGAAACACACTACAGCCTGCTCAGATCTCAGCTATGCAAAAGGAAAAGGTTATATTCTCTATACTATTATTTTTTGCTTGATGTGATCAGCATTATTGAACCTTGTGTAAATATTTAGAAAGCTTTTCGATTGTTTTCTGCATCACTTGAGTACATCTTTTGGTAACAAGACTGTATGGGAACCAACTGTGGGGGCAGATCCCTGACTGCCTTGATTGGATGCTAGCAGTCTCCTCATGTTACACTGCTCTTATTCTTCGGGAATCCCATTATGTAACTATTCTGGGAGCAACATTCTGGGAGTTATACATAAAGGTGTCTCTAGTAGGCCTTTAGGTACCTCCTGTTCTTTTTGATTTATTTCTTATAATTTCCAAGACAGTATTTCAGCTTGCTGCTACACAGATAAATTATTTTGGTGCTAGAAAGTAATCACTTGATTTGCAATCAGAATGAAATCTGAAGTTTAAATAGATCTGCATTTTAAGAGTTTGTATAGTTATTAGAAAATTATTGAAGCACTAACATTTTTTAAACACATTGCAACAGAGTAAAGCAATGAAATAAAGACACAGTAGAAGTTAAGCAGAACAGTTATGAAGATACAAAATAGTGTACATAAATTAAAAGGCCCATTGTTCTTCATGGGACCCTTACAACGCTTCAGATCAAAGGAGAGGATTAAAGCCTAGAGAGAACATAGTCCAAGATGCACACCCCATCTAAATAGAACTACAGCATTACTGATTTGAGTTTAAACATGTTAAAATCTCTCAAAAGCATCACAGGCTGATGTAGAATGGAAGTTCTCTTGCAGCATGTAAATAAAACCTGCCTGAAAAATCATGCACAGATAATATTATTTCAGTAACTGAGTGCCATGCAAGGACCCTCACTGTAACTAAATCACAAAACAGGATGGAACATACCACTCCTGCTGTGCCATCATAATATCAGCTGTCTTCATTATTTACTTCCCCAGTTCCCCAGCACTTTCATTCTCCCACCCCCCCAATTCATAGAACATCCATCATGGGATCAAAGGTTTTTATGTAATAGAGCATTTTTACCAGCTGTCCCATATAGCAAGTTTAACATGTATAATTGAAAGCCAGTAATCATAGTAATAGTGGCTCAAGTCACAGTCTAATCAAAAGATTTAAAAAATAAAGTGGTTGAAATCTGTAATACTTTATAGGTTCAGTGTACAAACAAATAAATATGCCATTGGTTCTGGGCCACTAAAGTTTTACTCAATCTAGACTGTATTTCTCTCCATCCCATAAAAGATGCCTAATTTAAAGGTTTACCCATTTAAATATATTTTCTCCTTTTACCACCACCTAATGATTAATATTCCTCTTGTGTCTTCAACTTAAATAGAAATCAGCCTACAGGACAATTAATTTACAGTTCTAAGTGACACTGTACACTGAGAGTGAACTGACCTTATAAACACAAATGACTCAAGAGATATTCCTAACAGTGTAGAGACACAGGTCTGGGTCTTACCCTGTTGTGTTTCAATGGCAGCAATTGAAAAAGAAAGGATTTTTTTTTATGTCAGAAGTAAGATTCCTTCAAAATATTTTTATATTGTTTTAAAGATGCATTTAAAAAGTCCAAGCCCCAATCTCTTGTTCAAGTTGGTGTAACATACATCTGACAAACACATTCCTCCCCTCTATCTAGACATACCTGGTATGTTCCTTTCAGATACATTCTGCTTCTAAAGCACAGATGTGTTTCAATACCTGTTTCCTATTTCCAGTTATTAGCAAAATGAAAAGTCAGAGAGGAACCACTACAAGAAATGTGAGCTGAGACTGGGAAATAGAAGAGAGTCAACAGCAGCAAGAAAAATCAGTAGCATGCTTTCATAGTGTGATCTATTTGCTTATCGTAGAGTTAAATACTAACAAATGTTTTCTTTTCACAGAATGTCATTTCTATTATCTTTATTTTTTTCTGTTTGATTCAAAGCAATCTCCATTGCATTCTCCTATTAACTAGACATGCGTCTAGGATGCAGAGGCACCCAAGAGTTAAAATCAAAAATAGTATGGTTTGCTTTTTTTTCAGCACACATAGTCTTGTGTGTTGAAACTCACACTGGTGAGTTTCAGTGGAATTTATGTTTAATGTAAACCTCAAACTTAGAAAATATTGTTCCCTGAGTGCAGCAACTCAAAAGACTGTGGAAGTGCCATTCTGGAGTCATTCCAAAAGATGAAGGCATTGTAGTAAGCTTCCTCAGTTCCTCTACAGATAGGACTCCCATATATTTCCTCTCATGCTTAAAAGCATAGAAAAAAATGGATATTGATCAGTGTCTTAAATATCAATGTCCTATGTAGATACTGTAAATTAGCTGTAAATGTATAGCAGAAAAAGAAAGAAAAAGAAAAGGCAATTCAGATTCAGTGCCAAAGTGAACAGAACAGCTGCTCATTGATGCATTTTCTGACCTTGCATTATTCAATCCAAAGTTTTATTACACATTTTTAACATATTACTTATCTACTCAGAGTAACCAGCTTTACAGAAGACTTAGCTACTGAAAAATGTTGGTACAGTGGATTTAGGCTGTAGTCCACTTCTCAAAATATCTTATTTGTATAAAACATGATTTAGTGGAAATATTTAGGAGTACTGCCAGTTTTACTGATTAGGTGTGTAATGGACTTCCTCACTCATCACAAGCACATTCAAAAATGTATCTTTTTTTTGTACAGGCCCTCATTTAGGAAAGGGTCTAAACATGGTAGCTTGAAGATCATCAATAGCAATTGAAATATTTTCCTTAACTTTGATCAGGCATCTTCACTGTAAAACTTAACCCATGGGAACCTGTTGTACACCAAACCTCCAGCTACGAATCCTAAGATGTAATTTTCTCCAAAATTATTACCAGGACAAATAACTTCAGTTCAATGAGAAAGACATCATTGGTGCAAAATCATTTGCTGCAATGCTTGACCTAGCAGCCTGCACTTTATTATCTAGAAATGTCTCTTTTGTTTAGTATAAAAGTTGGTGCCTTTTGAAAATTAACTAACAAGACAAGAATCCTTAGTCCTCAGCCCTCTGACTCCAGTTGATATGCAAGGATTACAGGATTATTGGGATTTCTTTGTCCTCAATGATTCCCTTTTAAACTGTTAAATTCAAAACTATTGGCATCCAACATTAGAATTTCTCTATGCTACAGACAAAATTACTCCAATACTGTAAAATCCTTGCAACCTTGGCTATAATAAGGGGTTATTATAATGCAAAAATGGACAGCACAAGGCTGCATCTCAAGAAAAGATTTTGAATTACTCAAAGTAAATTACATGTCTCTAAAGCTGCCCTAAATTTAGAATGGAGAAAGCCCTAGCATACATTTTATTCAGCTGACTTATATTAGGATTTTCCTCTTTACCATAGTTTTTCTTCCCTCTTGTGGTGTAAGGTCTCACAGAAGAACAGGTATGCATAGAATATTGATTTACATCCTGTAAACTGATTATTATTTTTATAACCTCTGACTATAAACAGTAAAATGACTGATTGCAAATTTATGCTGGTTCTTAACTAAAAGTGATGCACAATCTAAACTGTATAGCTGAAGTCATGTCACTAAATAAACAAACTTAGATTAAACAAAACATATTAGGACCTAACAGCACACAACCACTAAACATAAAAACACTTAGCATGATATATACCTTCCTGCAGTAGTCTTCCAAGTGGCAATCTATGAGACAGCATATAAAATTCGGGAATATAACAGGGCAAAACAGTCCTAAACCAGTTCAAGAGACATTTCTATATAGTTGCTAAAACAATGGCAGAAATAATTATTTCTATAAAGAGATGCAGTTTCCAATAACTTTGTTGTTGCATACCTCTTCTCCACTTATATATGTTCTGCTGCATTCCCTGATTTTTTCTTCAGTGCTTCAAATTTTCTGTTCAATATTTTGCCTGTTGTGGAAATTAAGAATATGCTAAACCCTTCAAATGTAAATGCTGAAGCATTAAAACCGATAAAAATTGTCAAAGAGTATTGACATATATTTGCCTCCAAACATAGAA